ATGTCTGTATCATTGTATCGGTTATTAGCTACATTTTGGCAAGGGGTAGGGATGTAAAAATAAAAATATCTATAAGAACACCGGATTATATATCTTTGTTCTTTCTTTATATATATATATATATATATATATATATATATATATATATATAGGTACTTATTTTTTAAATATGGACGTCCATACGTTATATTATCATAAAACAAAAGTGTTAAAAATTGCTTTACTGCGATATTTTAAACTAAAAGTAATCAGATTAAACTTTAAATTAGCTATTCTTCCTTAAAAAAAAAATTACATTGTTCTGGGAAGTTTACAAACCTCTTAGCATAATGTAATTCACTTGTAAAAGAAAATGGCTAAAATATTCGATCTTTAGCGATTAAAAAAAATAATTCCAATTAATTTAAAATCGTTTTGAAATACAGCAAAGTATTTTGCTTATTGGAAATATTACATTTAATCTATTAGCTTAAAATTAAAATAAAATAAAACTTCAATAAAGATTTTTCATATTTTAAAAATCAATTTTAAAACTTAAGTATCACTTTTCTTTTGAAGGTACCTAGAATGTTAGTATATCTTCTAAGGCAGATATTTCTCTACTTTATTATGTCTATCTAAATTCATTTGTGATGAAGTATTAGATGATCTTCATTTGTAGCTGGAACAGAGCACCCAGATTATTATCCTGCCTTTGTTTATTCACACCAAATCTTTGGTAGTCAGCGTTGAAGACTGGGTGACAACAAGTCTCCTAAAATCTCCAGCACACTCTTTGGTATCCTCGCAAACCCCAGCCTTGATCTGAACAGTCTCGAATTTCTAACTCGTCTAATCTGAAATCTAGTGCTTTTATCAATGATTTCAAGTGCACTTATGGTTATAGACGCCACAACCATAACCGTCTTATTCCACACATTTCTCATCTCCCGGGCAAGATCATGGTATTTTTCAATTTCATATTCTCCTTTATATTCTTCTTGTCATTCACTGGCTCAACTATCTGGCATGCTCTTTTATTTTCCACTTACTCAGTTCAGTCTTGTTTGGATGCGAAAGGCGATCTGATTGTCAAAGTCCTAGAATATTTTATTATTTTTCAATACAGTCTCTAGTATATAGACTATTACCATTTATTACACCTGATACGATTTATCCTCTAACTGATACCATTTATCCACCTGGTCGAAACCTATTTTTTGTGACTGTTTGTCATGGTTTTCTGTGTTAGTTTCTTACATTATAGCCTAATCTCTTTGATATTTACTATTTCTCTGGGCTGTGTCGATATTCACTTTATCATTTGTTCTGAGTTGCAGGGATTCAGGAAATTGTTGCTCTCTTCAGATATCCTCTGCGTGCCCATGTTCATGATTGTACGTCCACGCTATTTTTTTATTTGCTTTTAAAATTCTTTAGAATACTTCCTTTCGTCATCGATTGGGTTCTTCACTACTCCATCATTTATAACATTCGTAAAGTATTTTCCTTTACTGAAAAAATGTTTCGCTTTTTCTTTGATGTCCTTTTCTGTCAAGTCAGAAATTTTAGTATTTCGTTCATATCACACACCTCATTCCTTATTACCATCTTAACGGTAATCCACTACTTGTGTGGCTCTCGGGTCTTGTATATCATACATTCCAATATTAAAAAAAAAAAAAAAACATTTTGCCATGTGAGTACTTTTTAAAAATAAAGCAGTTGCTTTATTATTAACTTTACTGTCTTTATTTTTATTTTATTCACGACACAAACAGTATAAAAAGAGAAATTAAAAGAATGGCTTCCGACGAGATTTGAACCCACACGATCGTCTTTCATCGACGGCTCGTTAACCACCTCGCCCTCGAAGACGCTGACGACTAAGTAACGATCAAAATTATTGTTATTCGGTCAGTACTTCAAGTCGAGTCGGATAGTGAGTAGTGCTTTGCTACCAAGCAATAGGCTGTTTTTTTTTTTATTATTATTTAGCTGAATCATTTTACTTTTCCTCCATGTTATTTTTGTTGCCATCACAAAATTCTAGAGATCAATAAAGTCTTCAACCGATAGCGCAAACACTGTGAACTCAAAAATTGACAATGTGGCTTTCGTTGAGATTCGAACTTACATACCAGGCTTTAAGAGATATCTATCATGGACGTTGCCTTAACCACCGCAGCCACGAAAACATTCTCGATTTAAAGCAGATTGCAAGTCTGTGTGCTAATTCTGATTCTCTTTCTTCTGATTCTACATACTATTTTTTTTTTAATTTTAATAGTTATCTAGTAAGTAAGGAAAATATACAGCATACTATTTTTTATATACGTTTTATAAATAATAACATTACGCCGAGGCAACGAATTCTTTCACTAATGTACGTATAAATAAATAATATGTGAGCCTTCTCTACTTCGTGTTAAAGTTGTTAGTCATGCATGTCATGGTTGAGAACTTTTTTACGAACATGGTCCAGTAACATGGCAAGGAAGTATATTTGAGTTAGAAAGCTAGTCAGTTTAAAGTAGAAAAACAGTTCACACGTTTATGGGTGTGCTATTTGCCACGTGTATAGGATGTTTAGTGACTTGACATTATGTATATTTCGACAGTTGCATATGAAGAAACAAACCACTTGTAAAAATTTAGGACCTTGAATGTAAATACAACTGCCGGGTGAGATGTTTTTATATTCGTTCCGATGTCAAACAAGAAAAAATCTCGGTGTCTTTAAGTCATCAGTTGGTCTACTTAACAAGCAAAATATGCTTACAATATAAGACTAATAGTAAAAGTAATAAACTAATAGTATATATATATATATTTATATATATAAATATATAAGGTTAGAATAATTTCTAAGCCTCAAAACGGAACCATTTTCAATTTTTATTATAGATTAAGTTTACTTGTACAATAAAATATTTACAGGAGTCAACACCTTCAGTCTTAAACAAATACATAACGAATACTGGTACCTTTATATATATATATATATATATATATATATATATATATATATATATATATATATATATATATATATAAATAAAAGGTATCATTAAGTTGCGGTGATAGCATTATATATTTGCGTGTGTGTGTGTGTGTTTCTGTTTATAAATATATTACTTCTTCAAACAAAAGTCACTTATTACACATACAGATGTAGACGATGTGCTGAAATATTAGATACATAAATACACACATACATACACACACACACATATATATATATATATATATATATATATATATATATATATATATATATATATATATTATATATATTGTGCCCGTCAAGATTGATAATGAGTGCAACAGCTTTTTACTTTGACTACTGCCTGGGCATTATGGTAGATATAGGAGAGTAGTCTGCACATGTGATCACTCACTCACCATGTCGCTTATTCAATTCTCATGGTATGTCAGCGACAAAATATTTTTTGTAATTATATCTGACGATGGGATAAAATGCTGGGAGAAAACTGCATTCGTTAATTTCCGAATGATATTCATGCTAAATTAAATACAAACAACCGTATTACATCCGTTCAAAGTGTACATGTTTAATAAATCAATCTATCTTGGATTTGACACTGAAAAGTTCGCGAACAGACTCACTTGTCAAAATTCGAATCGTCAGAACTTATTTTTAGACACCCTTCTTCTTCGTGAGAGCGAGAATCTTTCAGCACCATGCTGTATATATCTATTTACCACATATATATTTATAATTTCGTTTTTAATCTATTTCTCTATCCTCTACCTATGTGTGTATAGGCGTGGAGGCATGCACCTACACGTTGCCGAATTAAATATAAATTACACCGTAATCAATGCAAACTTCAATATGTAATAAAATTGTAATATATTTAATCATAGAATAGATACGTATGCAACTGAATGACTTTATATACCACGTGTGCCTATATGTGTCTGTGTTTCTTTGCCCAAGAGTTTATACTTATTGTTTACATATGAACACACTTATATTTTATGCCAAAATACTAAAGTGCAAGTGTTCTTACGACAGTAGATGTAGACCGGACCAGAATCGAAAAAGCGGCCGGACGAAAGAAAAAAGGAAGAGGAAAACAAGAAACGAAACGAAACAAAATATTTTGACTGTATTCCATTGTGACTAATTCATTTTTGTTTGATTATTTTAAAGTTATTTATAAAAAGTAATAAATGAGTAGATTTAAATAAATTAATTAAGAAACAACGGAAAACATTAAAACTAGAACTAAAGCCTATTGTAATAATAAAGGACTTTCAGCGATCTCTTAAATTAAATAAATAGCTAAAACAAGAAAAATGCAAGTATTCCCATGGCCATAACAAATAACACCATTTTGGCTAAAATTCCCAGAGTTGCTTGTTTAATAAAAGGGCTTTTAAAAGATAAATAAAGAATTAATTCAAGGAAACACAAGCTTACAAAGTAAAGAAAACGTGTGCCAGCCAACGTTACAAAACATATCTTTCTTTTCCTTTTTCAACATCCTAAGCGATGATTCGATTTTGTACTCAAAGAGCACGTTAATATTATATACAATGGAACAAACACACAATGACAATATACAACAATACGTACTTTTTTCTAACGCACACAGCAATGATAAAAATGCTTTCAGCTCTCTCTCTCTCTGTCGCTCTCTCTCTGTCGCTCTCTCTCTCTCTCTCGCTATATATATATATATATATATATATTAAATTAAAAGGACATGTCTGTACATGCATTCAGAACGTATACATACACAAAAACACGCACGTACACATCTATCTGTGTGTGTGAGAGAGAGGGAGAGAGAGAGAGAGAGACTGCCTGTTAACTGTCATGCTGCGTGAACTAACCAAGATAACATGTCGGTAGGTTTACCACCGTAAGGTTACTTCTCACAACCACCAACCACAACATGTCAAATATCGGTCACAGAAAGAAAGAAAGAAAGAAAGCACAATAGCGCTTGCACTAACCTATACACATGCAACAAATGTACAGAATTGTCCTATTGCAGTGTAGAGAGTACCCAGCAACAGAGCGAAAAAGTAGAAGAGTAGGAGAAACAAACAGAAAGAAGGGGGAAGAGATCGAGTTTGTATTGAAAGTAAAAGAGAGACATAGAAAAGAAAGGGAGAAAGATTAAGGAGAGTGGGAGAGAAGGGGAGAAAATATAAAACGGGAATATATTATTACTGTCGAGTATTCGTTGTGAAATGGGCGGCCGAGAGAAGAAGAACTAATGCTACATTTGGATTGGTCACACTGCGAGTAACACTGATTGGTGTTAAAACAAAAACAAAAAAAAATACTTGAAAAATCATAAAAATGAAAACGGAAAAGTCTTTTCATCGATACAAATTCAAGCAAAAGCAGTCATCGTTAAATGACTGCATGTTTAGAACTTTAGTAATCTTAGTCAAGCACACAGCCACAATGTGAAATCGAAGTCACTATACAGTGTTGGTAAATTAATGGTCCACGAGACCAGCTTGCGAACGACTACACACCAAGTCTAAAAACGAATAAAAGAAAAAGACAACAGAAAGGTATGCATGGGACACATAGATATATTAGTAAAGTTAGTACAATAATACATTTACATTGCTGTACTTATTTTATTTACAGTCTGAATTTGAGACTGTCTGTTCATTCTCGCAATGATTAATCCTTAGAATCAATTATACTTTAGTTAGACCAAAATTATTATATCGTTCTTTTGAGTAAAAAGTAAAAAACGATAGTTTTCTTTCTTTTTAAAAACATTTCCGCAGTGAGATCAGCAAATAATTTGGTTGGGAAATCCCTCGCCCACCCAGGTAAATAAAAGATTTGAAGCAACAAATACGTTTCTATGTAGAAGCTGATGCAAAAATAGATCAAAGAAGTTTTGAAAGTTTTCATAAAGTGAGATATACACAACAAAAGTAGAAGCAAAAACAGGTGCAGTAACAAACTAAACAGGTCGCAAAGAATTCTTCAATGTGGACTATTATTAATAGTAGCAGCCTTGGTTTGGCAACTATCTGCTATAAATGTAGTACGGTAAAAAAAAAAAATACTATCGTAACTACAATACTGGGGACTTGACCCCAGATGAAGAGGTAAAGAAAAAAGGGGACTTGAGCGCTCATAGAATTAATAAAAGTGGTGAATATAAAAATTAAATTCATAGGAATAATAATAATAATAATAATAATAATAATAATAATAATAAGAAGAAGAAGAAGAAGAAGAAGAAGAAGGAAGGAAAGAAAGAAAAAAAGGGTGTTTTTTGAGTGCGTGGGTGAGCGCGTGCGTTCACTGGGAGAGCAATGTTAGCTCAACCGGCACGTGAATGGGCGAGTCACGTGAATTGATATCGATAGAAAAGAAGAAGGTAACGATAGATAGCTAGATGCCAATGGGAATCGATGGCATTGAAAAGATAGAAAGTTAATGAGGATAGATAGATAGATAGATAGATAGATAGATAGATAGATAGATAGATAGATAGATAGATGTGTCGGTAGTAAAAGAGCGAATATAAAATTTCGATATGCGCTCGAAGGAAGAATCGAGTCACTGTTGTTACAAGAAAGAAAAGGAACAAACCCTTTATTAATTATATAGCCAAGGGTTGATGGGAAAAAACACGAGGTTCGAGGTTGAATGTTGAATATATGTGCAATATAGCGTCGTTAGTTATGGCTCGAAAAAAGATTAGACGGAAAAGTGAATTCTGGATACTGAAACACACGTGTGTTGAACGAAACATTGCAGACCAAAGGAAAGGTGTTTTTTGCATAGAAAAAGACTAAAAACATTGTTTTGTTTTTTTTAATGAGACTACGAATAAAAACAAAATAAATGAAAAGAAATGATTTCAGTACAGTGAGATGGATAGATTCACACAGAAAAGAAAAACATCAAAAAACAATGATCTTTACAGCATAAACAGTAGAAGTTAGCTAGAAAGACAGACCGATAAAAGCACGCGTGAACCAATAGGCAACAGAACACGTGGTTCGATAGGAGGAGGATTATTACTTGTTGTTAAGGATAAATACTGGCGTGTGAAGTACATATGAGTACAATTACATGCGTAAGTTTAAACACACCTTTCGTGTACGTGCGTTATTGAGCAGATCATTAAAATAAATTGAGATACGACGTGTAATGAAAGAGAATTATTTTGGATTGTAAAATTTTAACGCACAGACACATAAATCCACGTACGAAACTGAAATCATTGAATACACTAGAATTAATTAGATGCTAAACTATTATTAAGAAAGCTTGTGTCAATATGCACACGTATACGTGTGCATGTGTAGGAGATAAGGGATAAAAAGAGTGGAATAAAAAGCGGCCCAGAAGAAAGAATAAAAAAAGGACCTCTACTCTGTTGTCAAAAGTAGCTTGATAAGTGATAGAAGATATGTGGCTTACACATTATTGGGTGAAGGGCAGAGGTGTGATCGAATTAAAATATTAATACACTAGAAGTGTGTACATATATATATGTGTGTGTGTGTGCCTACATTGTGCTTAGAGCAGTGGTAGTAGTGATTATTAAAAAAGAGGTCGGTGTGAGAAAGTGACAAAGAAAGAAGAAATAAACACGAAGCAGAGTTGTGCGCGTGTCAGTGAGTGAGTGAGTGAGTGAGTGAGTGAGTACGAAAAGTATAACACACAAAGAGAGGAGAGTATAGAGGAAATGAGATCGTTCTATAGTCAGTGTTAAGGGGAGGAGCCCGAAAAGAAAGACAAGTGGGGGAAAAAGAAGATGAAAAAGAGAGAGGAAGACTGAATAAAGTTCAAAAACAAGGTAGGAGGCGTTGAAAGAGTTGTGGTCGTAGGAATTCAGGTGGAAGCCGGTTTATCAAAAATAGACGCAATGTAGGGGGAGAAAAGGGGATAAGAACAGCATGAAGTGACAGAGCGGGGGGGAAAGATAACCTGGATGTTCGATAGAAACAGAAAATAATGACAGAGATTGGGTGAAAAGAAAACGTGTTGGGTGTGATCGAATAGGAAAGATAGACAGAGGGGCGGAGTAAGAGAGATAGTGGTAGTAGTGATAGATATATTAGTAAAGAAGTAGGAGGAGAAAGAACTTGTTTGATAGGTTGATGATGAATAGAGGGGGTGAAGGTTGAATTGATAGAAAGCAAAAGATTTCATAAAGAGAGGATGAGTAGTAGGCAAAGTAGAAGTGTTTGTGAGACGGTAGCTTCAGAAGCAAACACGGCTTAACTTTTACAAGAAGCCTGTATTTCTATAACAACAACGTTTATTTACTATTGTATCTCGCTCATTTTAGTTCAAGGAGTCTTGATTATAGTCAAATTATGCAAAATTTGTTCTGTTAAAAATATTTCTGACGTAAAAAAGAAATAATAACAAAAGTTTTAAAAAGCAAACTTCATTTTCGAAGATCTTTTACTCAAGTTTTGTGTGAGGAAAAACGAACTGTTTTGGTGTCACGCTGAAGTCACGTTTTCTCATCCGAAAGGAGAAAAGAAAGACTCACTTCAGAGCTTAGAGATTTAATCATCATTTATACCAGTTATTGATATTTTATTTTATTATCCGTAAAAAAAGAACAATTTAAAAATTGTTTTCTCTTATTTTTTCTAAAAAAATTATTTTAATTCTTTTGGTGAAAATTAAAAAGAAATTAACACATTCTTTTTTAAAAGAAATTAACAATCCTAAACAAATTATTAAACTATATTTATGCTCTACAAAAAGAAGAAAGAAAGCTAAGCCCATGCACATTAAAAGAAAACATAATCGACTGCAGTGACAAAAAAAGAACGACCTGTTCTCAGAACACGTCTTTCAATGCAAGCAAAATCTTTAAAATAGAACATTGATTTTTTTTTAACTTATTAAACACATTCAGTGATCGTGTACATTTATACCTTAATCTAATTCAATTTCACATATCAAAAGAAAAAAAAACCTACGTAAATTTCGCCCAATTTCTGTCACGACCACATTTCCACGGCGTGAATGCAAGGTAGTGTTAAAAACGTAACGCTGTTCAAACGAAACCGCACAAAAACGAAACGAAAAATATAACAACAATTTTTACGAACGCCTTTTATAACAGAATTAAAATTGACAAGATAGGTAGAGATTTTAAAAAACATATTGTTTAAAGTATGTTTAAAATCAGTGAAAATGTGTAAAAGTTAGATCTGGAAGCGTGTAAAATACAGATTTGTGCATGGAGACTGAAACTAGAAGGTAAAGTCGGAGTGATAGAAGAAAGAAGGAGTGAGGGGGAGGAACCACGCTGCCTGACTGACGATAATGTCTGTCTGCCTATTTACTTCTACATTTTCCTGCTAGAAAGTTTAGTAGACACAAGCCCCCAGTCTGCAACACGCCTGTCTCGAAAGCAAACCGTAGATCGCTTCATTAAGGATAAATCTAGGTTTTTCCTTGAAAAAGAAATTAGTATATACAAGGAAAACATATATTTAAAAGGTAGAAAAAGTTTCAGTTACTTAATAATATTATTAAGTAATGTTATCATTATGAGCGGAAGGAGGGACGACTTAATAATGAAAGCTTTTGTGTGAAAATACTGGATCCTTTCGGAAAGATTGAGAGAAAGATAAGGATCGACCGAAAAAAAAAAAGGAGCTGGAGGAGGATCGTTATAATCGTAATATTAAGAACAGAAAGGAGGGAAAGAAAAAGAAGCGGATGAAAGAATAATCATAGCACGTTTTCATTGCTTGTCCAACAACTCATACCAGAGAAACCACGTCGGGGAAAAAGGCTGTTTAGTGTTTTGCTATCTTCTTTCTTCTTTCTCACCTTTTTATTCCCCTGAGGAAATCATATACAAGAGATCGGATATAAATCTCCATTTCTTACTTAACAAGAAAAAAAAAAGGGATAAAATCATTTTAAAGGAAACCTTCGGAAGAAAAAAAAAAGAAAGAAAGAAAACATCTGTTCTTGGGGATCCTTTAAAAAAAAAAAAAGAAAAGAAAAATATTCCTCTTCGAAATATTCTTCAAAACCCCAGGATACCAAAAACACCCCCTCCCCCCAAAAAAAAACAAAACAAAACACACAAAAAAAAACAACTTATTTTTTGTACAAGCCATTATAGAAAAATTTCCAACAATTTAAAAAAAATTTCAAATTTAGTGGATAAAATCCAGTGAAAAAGATTATTTTCCCGAAAGATCTAAACTTGATATCAAACCCTCCCTATTATTATTATTTTTACTATCATTAGGCTTATAGCAATTATAATTATAATTATTATTATTATTATTGTTATTATTATTAATAATAATAATAATAATAATAATCACTTTGTCATCATTCTTACTAAACAATGTGAAAAGAGTCCTGGCAAACTGTCTTTGGAAATTCAGAAGTCTTGCAACTATTCATCCAGGATAAATCTAAAACGACTTCCAATACATAAACTCAAAGCCTTGTCATCACCACATACAACAGATAATTATACATATATACATACACACATTCATGCACACATATATAGATGATTTTCAGCACTTATATATGTATTTAAAGAAAACCTTTGTATATATGTAAATATATATTTAAATCTATCTCCCTTTGTATATACATCTGTGTGAAAGTTTGTATGAATATATATATATATATATACATATGTATATATACCTATCATATAAAATATATTAAAAGATCTCCTGTCCGCTTTCTGGTTCACTATTAAATATTTTTATGCCTGTATATTTATAAAAGAAAACAAGGAGATTTTAAGAGAAAAAATTGAGAGGTATATACTTAAAAACAAAAGGATTTACCTTTTATTTGCAAATATATTTTTAACAACAAAAAAAGGAAATATTTCATCTACGAAGGATTGAGTTTTTCTAAAAAGAGTTTAAAAAAAAATATATCCCAATCTTTGGTCTTGTCATCTTCTGGTGTGCGAGATTTACAGTGCAAGAACAAACACAATATAAAACAAAACAAAAAATAAAAATATATATATATCACCCTGCCTCCCCCTCTTTACACATATATATATACTTATATATATATATATATTTATGTATGTATATAATATATATGAAATATTTTAATATACATTATTCGAGCAATCCTTCCTACAACCAACCCATCATCTCTCGATTAACCCACAGTTCTCTTACACGTGTAAAATAGACAAATATTTACACAAGAAGCTTAAATATACATCTACAGTCTACATACATTTATATACATCTTTCCTTATATATATATATATATACACACACACACCCTAAATATATATATATATATATATATATGTATATATATATATATATATAATCACAATTATTAAGTAGAAATATAAAAAAAATATATTCATCATGAGCATCGCACAATTATTACAAGCTGCAGAATTCCTGGAAAGGAAAGACCGTGGTACGTATCATTATATATTGATTTAATTTTTACATATATTCACTTTATTATTTCGGTTTTTTCATTGTTGTATATTTAACTCAGAGTGTGTCATCATACGTGTCTGATTTATCGTCGTTGACATGCATATGTAAATAAATATATTATGTTGAAAACTGCGAAAATTTCGTATGTATTGGAAAGATCGAGAATATGCATATGAAGATAGAAACTTAGAAAAATAGTTTAAAAAGAAAAAACCCTAAAGACCTTCATTTTTCTTTTTATTTTATCTACGATCACAACTTTTCATTTCGATTTTCTCTTTAGGTCTAAAAATTGTAATGACTATGCATCCCATGCTTTTTAAAATTGAACAAACTTGAGACTTTCTTATTTAACTTTTAAACGTGCTTTTTTTTATTTATTCATTCAACTTGTTCCTTTCATTTTATCATATTTTTATCGATTGTCAGTCTTTCTTTATTTCTTTTTATTCTTTTTCTTTTTTTTTTTTTTTTTGACAGACCGTAAAAATAAAGTCCTCTCCACCGAAAAGACGTAAGCACGTGTTTTACGGGCGTGTATCAGTCAGTCAGTCAAGCAAGAGCTTCATTGACTTTCATGATAGAAACGTCAATAATGAATAAAAAACAATCTCCCCCCCCCCACAATTTCAGTAATAGTATTTATATTACGACGTATTAAAATTATTATATAATATCAAAATAAAAACTCAAAATTTTAAAATATATATATATTCACGTGAAACAAACACGCCCTTAACTGAAAAATTATTTTTTTTAACTAATCGAAAGTCAGTTCTCTTGATTCCCAATTAAAATAAATGATTTTCAATTGAAAAGTATTTTTTTAATACTTCAGTACGCGTTTTTATGAGAAAAAACGAAAAAGATCGATGAATGAAATGAAAACGATCATGATTCTCTAAAAACTCTAAAGGTCTTTCTTTTTACAAATGCATATCTGTTTGTGATGATCTACCTGATTATAGTTCTGATTCTGAAATACTTAAACTATCTTTAATTTTGCTTTGGGATGAACCAGCTGATAATAAGTAAAAAAAGTAAAAGCTCCAACATGTCATCAAGCAGGCCATGTTGCCAGCCCAAACGAAGCAAGGCAAAAAATAAGGTTTCTGTTTGGAAAAAGAAACTACTTTCACTTAAGAAAACACTTATCAATCCAATGTAAGCAATAGCCACTAAATAATAATCAGTTTTAAAGCATTAATTGTTCTGTAACATTTTTTTTTTCAGAAATCTCTTTTTTCTAAAAGTAATAAATAAACTAGGACAAATGTATCGGCAGCGCGTTTCATTTAGTCTTCATATTTGTCCTTAATACATGGGGGATCAGTTTTCAATTGAGTTTATATAATTAAGTGATCCCTTACTTTTGGTCCATTTTTTTACTGTTTCTATAAACAATACATCTCATTTCTAAAAGTAAAAAATAAATAAATTTTATTTTAAATTTCCTGCGCTGAATCTTGATTGAAATATAGATGCTATTGATTACTTTAAATGAATTGATTTGTTTTTACATTATTTTACTAAATTTACCTGTAGCGAATTACATGTTTTTAATTTGCTTGTAAAAGTAACACGTCGAACGAATTGACAGATGTATTTAATTTAAATGTTAAAAAAAACTGATGGCCAAAAGTCCCACGTATTTTTGTAATTTTTAGAGCAATAAATGGTTGAATAAGTGCGATGAAAAACTTAAAAAAGGTCGAAGAAATAATAAGCGTTAAAAAAATTTGAAAATATGAAGAGACTGCTAAGTTTATTTATTTAAAATAATGTAATGAATGATGTTTAACAACATGAAGTGCCTTTCTTGTTATTTCACAGTACACGTTGGTATTTTGCAAATTGAATTTCACTTGGTACTTAGACTTCTGGTTGCATTTTTTCTAAGTAACTGCATTTTAGGAGCCTTTGTTGGATTTTGTATTGTTAGACGAAGATTTAGGGGATTTTGAAATTATGGCCATTTTTTTAAGCTGTGTGAAAATGTGTATTATTGTGGGCTTTGTAGATGTGCTTGCTTGTGTGTGTTCGTGTGCTTGCTTGTGTGTACGTGTGTTTGCTTGTGTACGTGTATTTGCTTGTGTGTATGTGTTTGCACGTGTGCTTGCTTGAGTGCGTGTGTGTGTGTGTGTGTGCTTGCTTGCTCATGTGCTTGTGAGTGAAACCGACATGTCAAGTTTTGACAATTCAACAACAAACAACGTGGCTGACCTGCCTCGCTTCTACTCCCACCTCTCTTCTCGCTGTTATTTTACAGTACAACGAATATAATAACATGTGAATGTGTTGGCTGCTGGTTGGTGCATCATGACCAACTGGTAGTTGCAGATTATCTATCTATCTATCTATCTATCTATCTATCTATCTATCTCTCTATGGTTATATAAATTCTATAATCTGTCTCTAATCTATCAATCTCTATGAATGTAAATTCTATTATCTATCTCTATAAAATCTATCTATATGGATAAATCTATCTATCTATCTATATGGATCTAAAATCTATCTATCTATGGATCTAAAATCTATCTATCTATCTCTATGGACATAAAATCTCTACTTAAACATGAGAAAGACGGATTAAAAATTATAACAACTTTCAGCTTCTACCGATATCTTATTTTAACTTTGAGTCACCTAATGCAAATAAATACCAATAAATTCGAATAATGACAATGTCAGGTTCTGAATTTTTAAATGCTCTTTCTTTATGGAAATGTTGACTTCTTCCATTCACTGTTAATTCTGCTTCGTATTCCGTTTCCTATTGAATTTCTTGTAAATTAGTGTATCGGGTTCTTTTGCACCTCTGTTATACCCCCCCTTATTTCTTTTTCTTTTTCTTACCTACGTTCCTATCTCCTGAAGAGGCCGTGACATGTGGAACAAAAAGAGATTCATAGGTAGCAAAGATTGAAAGTGCAGTTCGATTGATGAAAAACTGAAATAAAAAAAGGCATTGACTGGGTGTTATATCGAAAGATCAAGATGATATGTAGGTAGTCTTTGAAAGAGGATGAAGGAAAAAAATCGAAATAAAAACATAGCATTGTATAAAACACGAGAAAGACAATTTGTTCTTTAAAAAAGCGAGAGAGAAAGAAAGGTCAGTAGATAGATAACGCAAGAAAAGAAATGAAGAATGGGAAAAGGAAAGAAAGGACGAAAGAAATATAAAGATATAAAGAAAGAAGAAAAGAAAGAAAGAAATGAGTTGAAAGACTTGAGGAAACCTTGATAGCGATGGCGAATGTCACGAGGAATAAAAATACGAATATGCAAATTGCAGCATGGCTAATGGAAATGTAAATGTTTATTCTCCTTGCCTTTAAAAACTTTATTTTTTCTCTTTCCTTTGATTAAGAAATAAAAATGAAAAAAAAACCAACTTTTTTCTCTGTTTTTTCTTTTTTTTTTTTTTAAATATCAATTCCATGTAACATATTTGGTTGGTTTATTTTTTGCCTTTGCTATTCCATTCAGCCTGGGACGGTTTCCCCGTGGCCTAACCAGTCTTAGATTCTTCATGCAGAGAAGAAATAAGTACAACAAAACAGCACATGGCATTGACTTGGTTATTCAATAGAATTGAGGAGGATGAGTGCTTTAGGCTTTTTCATCTGAAATCATCATCAGTAGCATTTGCAGTCATAACAATTATTTCTGTAATTTGTAAAAATATTAAAATCTTAATTATTATGTGTGAAATTTTTACTTTATTAATAAGTCTAAGATTTTCTTTTGCTTTCATAAAGTCTCTCGGTTTGTGTTGTTTTACTACTGAACTGACAGGTCACAGCAAACGAGGGATGGGAAAGATTTGCCCTAAGGTTTTTGATTTTTTTTATGGAATTTTTTTTATAAAGACCAACAGTAACTAGTTCATCACACAGAAAAGTAGATTACAACCAATAAACTATTAAAAAATGAAGTTGACATTTTAATTTTATGATTTTTGGTGGATATGACTCAACAACAGTCAACACATTTGGTTTGAATTTTTATTGCTGTGAAGTTTGTTTTTTGTTTTTTTCTACAATCTACATATATATTTTTTTAAGTTATGCATAAAAATTTATTGCTTCTCACTTCTCATTCTCTGTTTCTATGTATATATATATATTTCCTGTTTTTTTTTCTTTGAAAAACCACCAGAGGCCGAACACGGGTATGCAGCACCTGCAACACATATTCCAGATGATATTACAAAAAGAAGAACAAAATCCAAGAAAACCCAGGGAAATCGGTAAGTTTGGAAATAAAAGAAGAACTAAAAAAATGTTTATGTCTTATGATGTGTTTTACTTTTATGTGTGTCTTCATGTTTGTCTTTATGTGAGTCTATTTTGGATGTATCTATCTATCATGTGTTTTTTTTACACGCTCCAGTAATTTCTTATTGTTCCTTCTAATTTACTTAGACTCTACCAAATTATCTAGGTCGGGTGTTTTTTTTTTCTTTCTTTTTTGTGTGTTTGTGTCGTCATTTCACTATCATTAATTCCCTTAAGTATGATTTCTATTTCTATGGTGAAGAAAGAAGAATCAAACACAAAAATGGAAATATAAAAAGTATATGGTATTTTATTTAATTTGGTACTTTTGGTATTTTGACTTCACACACACACACACACATACACACACTCTCCTTTCTCTCTCTCTCTCTCTCTCTCTCTCTCTCTCTCTCTCTCACACACCTCACCCCATCTCGGTGTGGTGTGTGTGTGTATTTTTGTGACGTGGTTTGTCTTTTAAGAAGAGTTTTAAAAAAAAAGAAATTATGAAATGTATATTTCTGCATTTTCAAATATTTAGATTTTAGATTCATTTTTAATCTCTTAATAATCTTTAATGATTACGGTTACTTTTCGACGAATTTGTTTTTACTTTTATGCTTCTTACTTTTCCTATCATGAGGTCTGTGGTTGCTTAGTAGTGGGAAATTATCCACTACTAGTCTACGTTTATATCTCACATTATCTGCAAGATAGATGGAAACTGTTTGTTTAAATTTTCTTCTGATAGTCAGGTTTTAAGAGAAAAGCTTCGTCATTTCTCGTTTCGATTTTACTTTTTTCTTCGTTTTTTATTAAATAAAAACAACCTACAAAAATGACGTTTCTCTTTTTAAAATTTGACAACTGAAACTCGTTCCATGCCTTCCACTTGAAAAAGTCCCGAACCTCTCGTTTAAAACGATGCCTATTTCTAAATCCCGTACTAACATGTCAATGATAATGATGATGATGGTAATGGCAATAGTGATGATGATGATGATGATGACAATACTGACTATCATCATCAACGTAATAATCGTCATCATCCTTACCAATGTCATGTGATTAGGGATTGGATATCGGAAGAAAGAGAAGCTGTCGCTAATCCGACTCTCAAGCAACAGCTGATTTCATTTGCTGTTTACGATCTCCCACTCTTTCCTTTCATTTCTTTTTATTCTACCCCACCCCTGTGTCATTCATGTCGTACGTGCCTGCAAGACTACATGCACTTACGCGCGTGCGCGCGCACACACACACACACGTACACACACACACACACACACACACACACACACATTTATGACTGTTTTCTCTCAAGTTGTAGAAAAGATCATTTTTGAGTTGGCCCAGTTAATTGTGTGTGTGCTTTGGGTATGCATGTCTATGAGTTACTCATGACACAATCAACACGTGGGTCGATGCTGCGTACACTGCACACAGCGCACGCGAGAGAGAGAGAGAGAGAGAGAGAGAGCTTTCACTCAGTCATGCCTTGTGTGGTTTTACATTGTATGCAGTGTATACACCGAATACACTCTTCTCTTACGAGTGTGTGACGTATATCGTGTGTACGTTACACACACACACACAGTTTACGTAAACCTAGCATATTGATCATTGATTAATTAATGAATAAATCAACGCACACACACTCATGCATTTATCGTGTAGAGAGTGTACTGTTTCATTCCGCAGAAACGTGACATGCTCATCGACGTAGGACTGTCAATACATACTTATCGGCAATACAGTGTGTGTACATACATAGTGTACCCAACTGGGAAACGGTGTGTACTGCGTACTTAATCTATTCTTATATGGATATGTAGTTGAGTTAGTAAGTGCCTTGTAGGTGTGTGTGATTTAAATTTCGGTCGGTTGTTAATGATGATTGGTGTACGGTTCAAATGGTATACTGTGTGAGTGTGTGCGTTTATCACGTATACCGCGTACACTCCTTTTTAGACATACACTGAATTTCTGTTACTGTGTAGTGTACCGCTTAAGCTGTCTACACTGCACGTCAATATGGAGTGTACTCCTGTTGCAACATGTGGTTATGTTAATAGTAACACGTGGTTCATTCATCCACTGTCTCTCTCTCTCTCTCTCTCTCTCTCCACCCGTTTTTAAGTGACATACACTGTATTTATTTTTCATACATGGCATACACAATTCATTTAATACACACTTTTTATAACATTGATGAAAAACTGATCCTTTACTGATAAGATCTGTCAATAATGGGAATAATGGGGATATAGACACATTTGGAATGATGAAAATTGAAAACAATACCCACCCTTAAATACACAGGCTGTGTAAATTGCATTTACGTAGGCGTTCCGTTAGATAACTTTTAATTGTATGTTGTTTTTTTTTATTAGAAAACTTACTGTCACTTGTCTGATTTTATTAAAGTTATATCTTGTTTTTATCTACGACGTTAATCCTCTTGAGGGACCTGGAGGTTTAATTTATGCGCAATGTTACATGTACTTTTTTCTCTTAAAAAAAAATGTCCGTGCAATATTTATGTATATTTCGTAATATGTACGATTTAATAATGCAGTTGAAAATGCACGCAAATTGTAGATGAAATTAAAATGCACGGATGCCTACTCGTCAATCTTGATGATTTTCTTGTGTATAATGTACGTCCACATTTTTACAGCAAACGTGTTAGACTTTTCTGACTTTAAAAGTGTACACACTTTTAAACATAAATGTACACGTTGCACTGTAATAATTTGTTTTATCTATTTATTATATTGGTCCATTTGTTTATCATGGCTAATCTCCACCGAATTGCTTATCACCCGCTTGGATTCTTTAAATGCATATATTTTTATTATTTAACAAATCATTAATTTTACATAATTAGTCAATTCTCTTCTTGTTAAATTGTTTTGTTTGTTTGTTTGTTTGTTTGTTTTTTAATTAAGACTACCATCAAGTTTCAATATTGTTTGCCGACTTGTTTTTACTTGCGTTTTTCAAGAACGGTCGATTATGAGTGCAAATTAAAGCCACTTTATATTGTTGGGGACGTGAAAAATACAAATCTGTAGCTAAAGTTATCGTATATCGATGGGTTGTTAACATAATACATTATTAACATAATAATCATGCTTTAAAGCTCACATTGATAGAGGTACAACTGCTTTTTACAGTGACACGTTGCGGTTTAGAACTGTGTTCTGTTAAACATTAACAATGTCTTTTTGCGAAAACGTGTGTAAACATTTCTTGGGTGTCCTTTACACACTCATCATTTTTTTTTCTATGATACCAGAGTTTAGTGACTTATCGATTAACCCATTTCTATTACACAGGTGGGATTGCGTGTTTAATTCATGCCTCTGCCTGCCTCTGCCTCTCTGCCTCTCTCTCTCTCTCTCTCTCTCTCTCCACACACACACACACACATCCATACGACACAGAAATGTATTTTTAATGAATCTACCGTCCTAGTCTTGTTTATTTTCTGTGTGTGTTTTTCAATTTTCATAAATAAACGTGAGATAACCAATAGTAGACGTATGTATGTCTCTAGTCTGTGCGTGCGTTGTGTAGTCTATCTGATATCTTTATTACTCATTAATTTAAAAACGTATTTACAGACTCAAACAAACAAACAAAAAAATTAAATTGCATGTTTCGAGGTGGTTGTATGTGATGATCAGAAATGAATTCATTGAAAAGTACCTTTTTTAATTGTCAGGACTCAGAAATGCACTTTTGACCGCTGTACCTGTGAAACACCCAATAATTAAAGACTCGAACCTGGTGAACGTTGCAAATAAAAGAATAACAATTTATGCCATGGTCTTGTAGATTTTTTTTTAATCTTAAAGCATGGCTCTGTTGGATTTTACTAGTATGTATTTCGAGTGGTAGCAGTTATGGGGCGTCTGTCATGCAAAGCGTCTATTTTTAAGGTACAAAAACATATTGACGATAATACTCTTCTTGTTCTTGTGTCTCATGAGAATAAAATTGCGGTCTAAATCTCACAAGCCATTGAATGAATATTGAAAATGATTTCATTCTAAAGTAACGTCGTCAATATCCCTGTGTCCGTACCCTAAATACTTATTTTGGAACCTGGAAACCATTTGAGTTTAGCAGATTTTAGAAGTACATTAATAGACGTTTACGAGATGATAATTCTTGTCGGCTGTTTTTAAAAACTTGTTTAAAAAAATGACGTGTCTCCGAGTTGAGCCACGACCAAGTTGGTCGACCAGCCAGCTTGTCTGCCTAGTTCCAAGCAGCAGTCAGCTAAAAGTCTACATAGTATTTAACGTTGCAGTACATACACAAGTAGCATGTACTACACAATGCAGTGTGTAATGTACTGATAAGCAAGAGGATGGCTGATTTTCCTCTTTCTCACTTTTGAGTTTAACCCTGTCTCTTATCCAGGCCAACTTTTTGGGTTGCTCCTGGCTAGCTACATTTTTACCAGCCATTCATTAATATTATTTACCAATTTTTATTTACTTTTTTACCTATTGCCCTTTGCCAAAAATATTACTTTCTCTACTTTGACTTTTTCTCATTGATGTCTTCCTGATCATTGCTTACTAGTTAGTCTTAGAGGAAAAGAGCTTCAGGTGCACGATTCGATTCACATTATTATTGCCTCTTTGGAAAACAAAAAACAAAAACAAAAAAGGAAAGCTTTTTATTTCAGTTTCTGGAATGTATAAAAAATACTAACGTTGTCTTTTTGCAGATACATTTCTTTTGTAAATTCACAATCATATTCGCTAAAATTTGATTTATTCATAAAACAAACATCCCCCCTCTCTCTCTCTCGCTCTCTCTCTCTCTACGGGACTATTTCCATGGTGTTGAGTTGCAAGTTCGATTTTCAGTTAAATTGATTTCTTTCTTTTTTGTTTCATTTTGAACCATTATTATTAGATATTGATTTACAATGATAAATCGAGTTTTAATA